AGGAAGGAAGGAAGGAAGGAAGGAAAGAAAGAAAGAAAGAAAGAAAGGGAAGGGGAAAAAAGAAACAGAAAGAGAGAAAGGAAGGAAGGAAGAAAGGGAAAAGAAAGAGAAAAAAAGAAAGAGAAAGGAAGGAAGGAAGGAACAAAGAAAGAACAGGAGAAAGAAAGAAGAAAGAAACAGAAAGGAATAAAGAAAGAAAGGGAAAAAGAAAGAAACAGAAAGAAAAAAGAAGGAAGGAGGGGAAAAAAGAAAGAAAGAAAAAGCAAGAAAGAGAGAAAGAGAAAGGAAGGAAGGAATAAATGAAGGAGTGAAGAAAGAATGGGAGAAAGAAAGAAAGAAAGACCCCAAAAGAAGGAAAGAAAGGAAATTTCTCACTAAAGATTCGTCGATCTGAGGCAGCAGCCGATGGTTGTTCTGCTCCACGGCCTCCAGGCACTGCAACATGACAGTCACGTGGGCGTCGCTCAGCAGAAAAGCTGAATCTGTAAAAGAAATTTTAAAATGGAGGGTGGAATGGGTTCGCTCCTGCACTTCTCTTCCAGGGCAGGATTTCTTTTACAAACTTTTCAGATGTGTGGCCTTCAAACTCCCAGAATTCCTCCCCAAAGGGCAGGTTTAGCAACAAGGCTGGTGGGGCAGGGGTATTCTGGATTTCTTCCTTTTAAGGGACCAGCCAAGCGTCAACATGCATCGATACATCCTTGATTGATCGTGAAAAGCTAAGCAGGGTTTGGACCTGAAGAATCCAGGGATGGGAGACCTACAGGGAATTAAAGTCGAGGCGGGGAAATTGAAAAAGATATGGAGCAGAAATGGCAAAGAGGAGTGTGCAAGAAAAAGTCAGAAGCTCAACTTGACCATTTAATATTTAAACAGAATTAGATCCTAGATTGAACAAGGATGTCCAGCCTTGGCCACTTTAAAGACCTGTGGACTTCGACTCCCAGGATTCTCCCCAGCCAGCATAGCTTGCTCTCTTGTAATCCCTTCCTCTGCAATCTCTCTCTCCACTTTAGGGGGTTAAGAGAAAAAGGAAACAGACACAGCTGGCTGGCTGGGGAATTCTGGGAGTTGAAGTCCACCAGTCTTAAAGTTGCCAAGTTTGGAGACCTCTGCCTTAACCGTTAGACTAAAGACTTTGTGGACTTCAACTCCCAGAATCCTCCCCAGCCAGCATAGCTTATTCTCTTGCGATCCCTTCCTCTGCAATCTCTCTCCACTTTAGGAGGTTAAGAGAAAAAAAGAAACAGATACTGCTGGCTGGGGAATTATGGGAGTTGAAGTCCACCAGTCTTAAAGTGGCCAAGGCTGGACATCCTGACTTAAAAATACTTGTGTGGGAAAACACCAGAGTTAGGCACACAATTGGGAATTCAAAAAAAAAAAGCTTGCAACGTCCACTTTCCGTATTGCCACCAGCATATTCCATACAAAGCAACAGATAAAAGCTAGTGGAAGATAAGCAGGGAATTCCCATTTACAGGTCGGCCTCAATTTACGACTGCGTGTCTGTTGCTAAGCAAAAGAGTTGCTAAGTGGGTTTGGACCTGTTTTACGACCTTTCCGGCCACCGTGGTTAAGTGAATCGCTGCAGTTGTTAAGAGAGTAACACGGTTGTTCAGTGAAACTGACTTTGCTTGTCAGAAAGTTGCAAAAGGGGATCACGCAACCCCCCGAAACTTCAACCGTTATAAATATGAACCAGTTGCCAAGCGTCTGAATTTTGATCGCGTGACCCTGAGGGATGCTGCAGCGGTCATTAAGTGTGAAAGACGTTCATTTAAGTCACTTTTTTTTTTCAGTGCCGTTGTAACTTTGAATAGTCACTAAAATGAACGGTTGTAAGTCAAGGATGACCTGCGTCGGATGCCCTGCAAACCAGCCAGGATAAATTCCTTGTCTATCGGATCACACTTGGCCAATAAAGAGTTCTGTTCTCTTCTCCTTTACTCCAAATTCTATTCTGTTCTTAAGTCTATTTCTATTTCTTTATTCTCATCAAGATGGGACGTGGGTGGCTTAGTGGCCAAGACAACGAGCTTGTCGATCAGAAAGGTTGGCGATTTGGCGGTTCGAATCCCTCACTCCACGTGACGGAGTGAGTTCCCGTCCCTCGTCCCAGCTTCTGCCAACCGAGCAGTTCGAAAGCATGTAAAAAAAAATATGCAAGTAGAAAAAATGGGGACCCCTTTGGTGGGAAGGGAACAGCGTTCTGTGCACCTTTGGTGTGTAGTCATGCCGGCCACATGACCACGGAGATGTCTCCGGACAGCGCTGGCTCTTCTTCAGCTTTGTAATGGAGATGAGCACCACCCCCTAGAGCCAGAAACATCTGGCACAGATGTGCGAGGAGAACCTTTACCTTTACCTTATCCTACTCTACTCTGTTCTTAATTCTACTTAATTCTACTCTGTTCTATTCTCTATTCCAGTGATGGCTAACCTTTTCGTCGTCGCGTGCCGAAAGTGCGCGCGTGTACCTGCATCCATAACGCAACGCGCGCGCAACACCCCCTGCCTTCTGCGCCTGCACAGCAGATACCCAACAATCAGCTGGCTGGCGGGAGGCCCGTGCGCACGTGCAGGGGCGCATGTTCTGGGCGACGGCTCATGTGCCGGCAGAAATGGCTCTGCGTGCCACTTCCGGTATGCATGCCATAGGTTCTAAATTATACTCTGTTTTTAATTCTATTCTTGATTCTATTCTATTTTGTACCCTCTTCTACTCTACGTGATGGCTCAAAACAGGAACAGAAAACGCCCCCCGATGAATTCTGCATGGAAGAGGACCAGGAGGAGGGAAGGGCAGCCCCGTTTTCCTCTCACCCGTGTAGAATTTCCTGATGTATTCCTTGTTCTCCAGGAGGGGCTTCAGCTGAGCGGAAAGGCAGTGGAACTGCAAGCTGTGCTGAAGCCAGAGCTCGGCGAGGGTTCGCTCTCTGGTCCTCTCCGGATTCTGTTGCCCGTTCTCATGGAGATGGATAAACTGCAGAGGAGGAACGAGGTTTGGAGAAAAAAGCAGGCCCAGGTCAGCAGGGAGAGAGGATCCATGGTGGAAAGGCCTTTTCTAGGTCTCCTGACACCCCCCCACCCCAAAAGCCTGAGTTTTTAATCACGGGAGGCTTTTAAGAAGGGACTGGACAGTCACTTGTCTGACGTGGCATAGGCCAGGGTCTCCTGCTGGAACAGGGGGTTGGACTAGATGACCTCTCCAAGTCCCTTCCGAGCTCTGTTCTGACAAAGGAGTTTCCTTTCAAGTTATCACTTTGAAAAAGAGAGAGAGAGAGAAGGAGAAGTGGAGGGAGGAAAAGAAGGAAGGAAGGAAGGAAGGAAGGAAGGAAGGAAGGAAGGAAGGAAGGAAGGAAGGAAGGAAGGAAGGAAGGAAGGAAAGAAGGAAGGAAAGGAAAGGAAAGGAAAGGATGGATGGAAGGAAGGAAGGGGGAGGGAGGGTGGAAGGGAGAGGAAGGAAGGAAGGAAGGAAGGGGAGAGAGGGAGGAAGGGAGAGGAAGGAAGGAAGGAAGGAAGGAAGGAAGGAAGGAAGGAAGG